ATGGATAAGTTACATATTGGAATTTTTGGAAAACATGAATAATGAGAACCCAAGTAGAACTCAGGTTCACATTGAGGGCAGAGAGAAGACAGATTATTCCTTAATTCACTTGTTGAAATTTGTAGCAGTTTACAAGTTGGAATTAAGCTGATTCCTTATCTTCACTTGTTGAAATTTGTAGCAATTTACAAGTTGAAGTGAAACCGAGGTTATAGTTTGCACACTTATAGTAATCTACAGGTTGGTCCAACCAAAGAAGATGCTTAACACTTGTTGAAATTTGTAGCAATTTACAAGATAACGTTAAGCCGGCATGTGATCATCTGATGAAATTTACAGCAATTTACAGGTTGAAGTAAAAGCTAAGTATATTGTTTTAACACTCATTGAAATTTGTAGCAATTTACAAGTAGGTTAGACCGAGATCACTGTTTGCAAAGTACTTGTTGAAATTACTTGTTAAAAATACTTGTTGAAACTTAAGAAAAAGCTTGTAAAGTTGGCATTGAATAGTATATGTTTTACACTTGTTGAAACTTATGAAAAGGTTGCAGGTCAGTAACTTGCCGAAATAAAGCTTGTGGTTATTACACCCGAGATATGTAACCTCGAGAAGATTGCACATGGAAGGAAAGAAGTATGTAAATCATGCAAAATATTCTAAGTATAGAAACCACGCAGAAGTAATCAAAGAAAAGACAAAGATTCAAGCATTAAAAAAAGGAAAGCTGAGTTAACATTTACAAAATTGGGAGGCACGTCGGCCACACAAAAGCTTACATTATTCAGAAAAAGATAAAGGAAAAAACAAAATACAAGTAAACAAAAGAAGAACATGAAGCTAAGGGTCTTCTCCTCTAGATTGTTGAATTTGGAGATCAGATACAACCTCGGCCTCCTTCTCTGCCGCTATTTCGGCGTCAATTTCCTGAAGAGTTTGTTCGACAGTCTTAACCTCGGGAGGGATGTTGGCTGGAACAGTGTCAGGAACAGCTTCAGGGATAACCTCATCACCTTCTTCATCTTGACTCAAGTCAAGGACTTGCTCATTCTGAGGAGGGGACTTAGCCCCATCAGCATCCCTTGGTTTTCTGACCAAAGCCTCATCTTCTTCCTCATCGGCATCTTCAGACTCAGATTCATCTTCAGCTTGGCTTAGAGGTGGAGGAAATGGAAGAGGAATGGTGTCAGCTTTGCGCAGTGGCGAATCGTCAGGAATGTTAAGCTTCTTGGCAAGGGCCATCCAACCAAGAGAGAAGCCCCTGTTGCATGCCCGCTTGACTTGAAGTTTGTATTCCTCAGTGACGTCGGCCATGCCCTGGGCGTAAGCCTTCTCATCAGCTTCTTTGATTTCGGCTTTTTTTGTGGCCAGAGCCTCCTGAAGCTCTTTTTCGGCTTGGGCCTTTTTTACCTCGGCCTCTTTTTTCTCGGCCTCGGCAACTTTCCTAATAGCCTCGGCAGATTCAGCCTTTTCCTCGGCAAGGGTTTGGGCTTTGGTGGTAGCCTCAGCCTGGTCTTCCAGTTTTTTCATCTTTAATTCAAGAGATTTGTTTTCCTTTTTAAGGGCAGAAACCTCTCTCCTCAGATCAACCAACTTTGTCCTGTTTTCAAAAGCTTGCATTGAAAACGAATGGACATGCTGAATGGCCTGAGAGAAAACAGAAGTGTTAGAAAATATTTTAAGTATGAAACAGAAAGAAAGTGGAATATTCCAAACAGGAACACTTACTTGAACGGAGTGCTGGAGCATTAGAGCATAATTCTCGTACTCACTGTACTCCGCATTTCGCTCGAGGTCACCCGGAAGAAGCAACATCGTGCTGAGGGCAACGCCGACATTTATGTCGTCGGCACTTTCACTGGACATAATTGGCCTGTCTTCCAAAGTAATTTTGGGAGCCCAAGGGACATCCGGTTTCTTGGACCCCGAGGTAGTAGCTGAGGCCGATCTTGGTTTTTTTGTCTGTGTGGACTCAGAGAGTGGGTTTTCAGCAGACCTTTTTGCAGAAACAGAAGAAGTCTTCTTACTCTCAACCAGTTTAGAGATAGGCAGAGCATCCTCAGCCTCAACCTCAGTAGCTTTGGCCTTGGGCTGAGCTTTTTTGATTCTCTTCGGCTTTGGTTGGGGCATGGTTTGCGTCGGTTGAGCGTCAACATCCGTAGGAAGGTCAGCTAGGAGATCTTGGGCAACAGGCTTCGGGCGACCCATCTCAGCAGTTTTGACGAGTCGTCGCCGACGCCTTCTTTCTGGTATTGGGATTAAGTATGGGGCTGAAGTTGATGGTTGCTCGGCTGGATCAGAGGTTGACCCTTGGTCAGCCCGAGATGTTGATGCTGTTTGTAGAGTGGTAGCAGAGGGAGAAGATAGGCTCTTCTTCTTTCTTTTTGGGACGTCGGGCAGTGTGGATTTATATATCGGAATAAAGTTCAGAAGGAGAGGTGCTTTTCTTTTGTGGGCAGGCAAGTCCAGGAGCCTTTTCAGATCCTTGCTAAGAACGTAGGATTGGCGAAAGTCTTTCGGTAACTTACGAACGTCTGCAAGAAGAAACAAACATTAGAAACAGATAAAATATTGAAGACTTGAAAAGAAACAAACAAGTAAATAACACTGGACTCTTACCCTTGCCCTCTTTAACTGTTCGAGGAAGAGGGTATAGATGGACATCTTCGTCTGGGGCAAATTCCCAATTTCCAGAGACAATGAAGTAGTCATCTCCAGCCCCCTTGTTGGAGTCTGGGAGGTCGGCTACGATTTTGAATTCAGTGGACCTCGGCTTGAGGTAGTAGACGCAACCTTTTTCCTTCAGGCTAAGGGGGCACATGGTGTAACAATATTGTATGTCGGCTAGGGTGATTCTAACGTTTTCTTGTCTGGCTAAGGCTATGATACCAAAAATCACTCGATAGGAGTTTATGGCAAGTTGCATAGGGTTCAGGTTATAATAATGCAGAATCTCGCGAAAAAGAATGTTAAGTGGAAGCCGAAGTCCACATTCAGTAAAGGCTACAATAGGGAGAGGCATGATGTTTTCAGTAGGCATGATGGAGTCATCATCCCCAGCCAGTTTCAGGTGAACATCGGCAGGGACGGAGAACTCCTGCCTAAAGTACTCAAGTTTGGACGGGGTATCAACCCTATGTCTCCACATACCCATAACGTCGGCCTAAAGATAGGAAGCTAGGTTTCAGAAAGAAGGTGGTCTTAAGGGGTTATCGGGACCTCGGCAAAACCCTAGGAATGTACTGGTAAGGGTTGTTTCAGTTTTCCCTAAAAATTGAAGGTTCTATAGACAATACCCAAAACTAAATCTATGGACGCAAAGATTGAAAGCAAAAATTAAAGGCAGAAATCTGGAAAACAAGAAACAAAGAACGACGTTTCAGAAACAAAGAACAGAGGTATGGTTCTCAAAAGCGAAAGAAATACAGAAGTAAAACGTCAAAAACAGTGGTAAGAAAAGTATTAAAAATAGTGCAAGTGTTCAAGATATGAGTAAAATCATGGAATAGACGCATCCAGATGAATAGTTTCGCAAATCAAAAGTATGAACAGAGCAATAATGGCAGTAAGAAAATGAAAGCACATGAAAGAAATTGGGAATAAGAGGAACAAAGGCTTACCGGAACAAATGAAGCCGGAGTGAAAGTCGCCGAAGTAAGGCAACGATTACAGAACGGAACGACGAAAGCTTCGTTGGAATGGAAGAATGAAGACAGTCGCAGAGCTTGGAGCTAGAGCAATGGCAGGTTTGAGAAAGTTTAGAGAGAGAGAGAGCCAGAAAATCAAGTGCAAAAGTAAAGGAATGAAGATGGAAAGGAAAGTTTTATCAAAAACTTGAAACGGCGGCAAAACAGGGCATTTATTGCGCCTGGAGGAACGAATGCGTCAGACGGCGCAGACAGGTGAAAAGGCGGTTTACAAGCGCGTCACAGACATGGGCCAATGAAGATAGAACACGTAAGGGGAACGGTTGAGAAGAAATGCATGACAGCTCACACGCGTGAGGGAATTTGTTTAAAGTTCTTGTTCTTCGAAGAGAACACGTCGGCCTGAAATAAATGATCTCGGCTAAACAGTTTTTTTAGCCAATATGCAGAAAGAAATATCGATATAGGTTCCATCACCTCAGAATGCCGAGGTAATAGAACCTAGGGGGCAGTTGTGGGGATATATTTTCTGAGTACCAACACGTGGCAAGGTGACGCCGACGTGTCAGCCGAGGTGCCACGTGTCTTGGTCGTTGTGCCGAGGTTGCCTCCGAAGATATCAGAATTCGAGATAAGCGGATAGGGGACAAGAGTCCTAGAGAAAAGAGAAAACTTCTGCTAAGATAAGGATAAAACTCTTAGGGAGTTTATCTCTATCTCTTGAGGAATCCAAAGTAAGTACTAAATTGGAGTCCATAGAAGTCAAGCTTCTAGTGGGACTTGGATTGAATAAACTATAAAAGAGAGGCATCCCCGTGGGTCTAAGGTACGCAGTTTTATACTCAAGCTTGTGAGTTTAGCACTTGATTATCTTTGAGAGATATACTGACTTGATCGTCGGAGTGCCCCCGGGTGGAAGAGCCACCGTCGGAGCCTTTTCTTTCTGTTGCAGGTCATCTGAAGTCATCTATTCTGCCGGTGCTCTTCAGCTGATTACTAGGCGGGCAGTGTGGTCAGAAAATTACCCACATATTTAGATACATCTAAGTAAGGTACATCTAAAAAAGTAAAAAAAAATGTTTAAAATTTAAAAAATATTCATTAAAAACAAAAAACCACGAAAACCAAAAAAGTCAGTTTTCAAAAAACTTAATCCAGAAAATTCAAACCAAACATACTAATTATTTTTTTTAAATTGGTGGGGCTTACATATATATATATATATATATACATGTATTGTATGAAAACATATATTTATGTAATTTTATAAAAATTTATGTAATTTTGTGTTACAATTACATATGGTGTGCACGGGAGAGATTTTTTTTTTTTTTTTTTATCCAATTGGCAAGAGAAAATCGTGTGACACACAGTTACTGCCACTACTAGAAAATTGGCTTTTTGCGACTATTTTTTTGCGACTGCTTGTTTGGCCGTCGCAAAAGAAAAAAAAAAGCTCCAATTTATATTTAACCTTTATTTTTCCTATTTTCTTTATTTATTTGCTTTTGCCCTAGCTTGGCTCGCTCAACCTCTCTCTCTCGCTCTCGCTCACCGGTATGAATCTCTCTATCTCTCTTGATCTCAATCGATTGATCTCTCAATCTCGATCTCTCAATCTCTCACCCTCTCTCGATCTCTCAATCTCTCTTTGTATCTGCGTACACGTTGTCTACTCTCTCTCTGCAATTTGTGCGATTCATTGCAGAGAAACCCTATCTCTGCCATGGAAAAGTTCTCTCGAAGCACTCGAATGCAGCAGAGTAAGCTCACCTCTCATGCGTTTCATCTACCTCAAAATTTACCTACATTACGCGCGTGCACGCGCGCGCGCACACACACAAAGACTATCTTTGAGCTTCATTGTGTACATAGTGTCCTATCAATGCATAATTACATGAATGCTTATATACATATGTATATGTATTCAGCATTGCAATGCAAATCTGTCCTCGGTTCTGTTTTTGCTTCTTTGTTTTTTACCTCTGTTTTGGTTCTTTGATCCATAAATTGCTCGATTTGTTCTAATTTTTTGTTCTTTTTTCAATGTTTTTCGTGTTTATTGGTTGATTAGTTGGTTTGAGAAAATCATCGTAAAACTTTGTGGCTATTGCTAGTGGTGATGCCTCTGAGGCCTTTATACAAGCATTACAAGAGAAGGTTTTTTTGTTGATATTCTCATCTCATTAGAAGCAATATTCAAAATGTAGCTCTTTAATTTTTATAAGTAATGGGCCTTACAGCTAATCTTTGTCACACTTTATTGTTTAAAATTGTCCATGGACCAGAAAATACACAATTGGAATAGGTTGTCTGCCATGGCTGTTGAACAGATTGTAATGACAGAGTGATCCATTCTACAGGTTAGAATTTTTTTTGCTAGACTTTGTTAATATGTTTAGTAATTTTCATGTTTTTTTTTTGCTTCTCTACTGACAGTTATACTTGTTAATGAGCTAAGAAATTTCAAAAATTATAAGGTAGCTCACATTTATATCCATAGACATAGGAATATTAATTTTTATTGAAACTTTCATCTTTGATCAATTTTATTTTATTTATTTTGTTTACCTAAACAACTTACATCTGTTGTCATTCTTTTGAAGGTATCATATGAGTGGGGCTGAAACTCATGGTGGAAGCCTTCCATGAACCAAAGAATAAAAAAAAGAGTTCAAGGTTTGCGGTTTAACTCTTACTTTGACTCCTTCAGGTTCCACTACTTCCACCGAGTAAATGGAATTAGGACTCCCTACATTTGTCAATTGCCTTTTAATCACCTTACTCAGCTTCCCGGGCTTGAACATTACTAAAATCGAAGGATAATTGAGGCTAAAACCCTTGTTCTCCAGCAAAGTCTCATGGCAACTCACATTGCTGTGAGTAATTGTGAAAATTTCTGATTTTGTGTATCCCAGGGTGCACAGATGAGTGATATACTTATCTGGCCTGATATCATATACCAGTCTTGGATTGATGGCTCTCTCGGGGTTTACATGTCCAACTCCAGTTGCATATTTGGGATCATTTGACGAGTATTGATTGTTTTAAAATTCAGTAGCTACATTATGTATACATATTTACTAATAATGCTCAATTGTCACCAGCTTGTAAATGCAATTATGAGTAGAAGAGATGTTTTTGTTATTATGGTTGCTGGTGGAAGGAAAAGTCTCTGCTACCAGCTTCCAGCTATTCTTCTTGATGGAGTTGCTCTTGTTGTCAGTCCTTTACTTTCTCTTTTTCAGGATTAGGTGCTCTCAGATTTATATTAAATTTGCTTTTTTGAACCGTTGTACCAAATGAACCAGCCTTTTCTGACAACTGCAGTTCCTTCAGGTGATGGGGTTGGCTGCTTTGGGCATCCCTGCATTCAAGTTGACCTTAACAACTGCTAAAGAATATGAAAAGTTCATAAACAAAGCCCTTGAAAAGGGTGAAGGAGAACTTAAAATTTTGTATGTCACTCCGGGGAAAATATCAAAGAGCAAGAGGTTTATGTCACTTGAGAAGTGCCATCATGCTGGTCATCTGTCTCTAATTTCAATTGATGTATGTGCTAACATCTTTTTTGTGCTTTGGCCACATGTGATAGATTGTTGTTGTCAATCTTTTTTGAAACTGCTTATGTTATCAGACTGCACCGTGTTGCAAGGCTTACACCCTCCCAACCTGTGAGTTTTTCCTTTGATAACAATTTCATAGGGATTTTCAGATTTGTGGTTTGTGAACTTAAAATATTGGTTCCTGAAAATTACATCTTGTTTTGTACTGGTATAGGTCTTTACGTTTACTCATCTAGAGTCTTAATTACAAGAAGCAATCAGGGATATATGAAGCTTCAATTTGAGATGCCCAATGACACTGGATCAGCCTTGGTTCATGGTATGTGGTTGCCTAAGACTTATCACTGTTTTAAACTAATCTGCATGTGAATAGTTTATTAAATCAAAATATCCATGTCACCTAGAGAATTGTGGGAAACTTGAATTAGTTTCATTCCTACATGTGTAGTGCTTGATTGAAATGTTAGAATACTTGAAATGTTGGAATACTGGAATTAGGAACATGGGATGACATTGGTGTTGTAAAAAATAATGAATCAGATCTCACTGAGATGAATTTCTTGAGGAGTGGTGTGTGAGGATCAGTTTAGCAGTTTAAGATGTTCATTATAATATGCTTAGCGTTTGGTGATTAAAAAATATACCGATGTTGATATTATTGCTGTAGAATAACATACACAAGAATCTTGCATTCAAAATAAAAATTGGTAGTCATTTTATGGGTATATATATAGTGTTTGAAATTGTAAAGTTGTGTTCTGGCTGTCTATTTTGATTTTCATAATTTCTTTGCAATGTTTTCATCATTTCTTTGCAATTGCTGCCTTTTCTTTGCTCTGCTAGGCTTTATCTAAAGAAATTTCTAGAAATTTGATACTCTGTGTTTTGATCTATTCCCCTTCATAATGTGTATTGATCAGGTGCAAGCTTGGATTTGAGGAACATATATCTCCATTGCAACAAATTGGAACTCGACCGATACCTTGTACAGTGGTGAACACCAACATTGTAGATTTTGTTTTACTAGCTTTCTATCTGGATTGTATTTTTTTCATAAAAGAACTTTTCCCAAGTTTTTAGTTGTAATAACTTTCATATATGGCTCCAATTTTAAGGCTCAAATGGAATGCCTGATTAAATTACAATATTATACTGTCTGAATTATTGTTATTGCTATTCCTAGAGTGCTTAACGTTACACTTTTATGCTTCTTTCTTTTCTTTTCTTTTTTTGCGACGGTAACAAGATGGTCGCCAAAAATCATGTTAGTGTTTTTCTTTGTTTTTTGCGACGGTAAAATAGCAGTCGCTATAAGTAGTTTAGGCAGTCGCGAATAATTTGCGACCATTGCTTTGCCGTCGCAAAAAGTATTTGCCACCCCCACATTCGCGACCCCCATTTGCCGTCGCATGAGCCGTCGCAAAAGGTTTTTTGCGACTGTTTTTTTATTATTTGCGACGGTTTATAGCGATCGCAAAAAGTGTTTTTTTTGGTAGTGGTTGAGTTTTATCAAGGCATTATTTGACATCCGCTATATTAGTATACTTTTTTAAAAAAAAAAAATTTATCTTTTTTAAGTCACATCACTTCTCTATGTTTTTTACACATCTTTTTATAATAAGTCAAAAAATATACTTATTTAAATCATTTCAAATCTCTAAATTTTATGTTAAACTAATTAATGTAGAAAAAATCTTTTTTTAATTTCATGGTTTTATTAAAAAAATAATAATAAAATGGTCAAATAGTCTCACTCCTCAAAAAAGTCCAAAAATACTTTTTCAATCGAATTTAGACTACAATGGCCTTTCACTGACTATGGCCTATTCAAATTCAAACAAAAATGGCTAAACATAATGTTAGTTTTATACATAGATTCCTCCATTCTTTTATTTTAACTTCTCTCTCACACCAAAAGTCTGACGAGTGGTACAATTGTATAGTTTGTTTGTTATTATTATCGTTTTTTTATATTATTTTTTGTAAAAATATTTCATGTAATTCTTATTTTATTGGCCAATCAGGTTAGCCTTGTTGGTTTTGTTATTTTATTCAGTGTTTTGGTACTTATATTTTTTGGGTGCACTCAATTCATAAATTTAAATTGAAATTTCATTTTGCCAAAGGTTCAGGCATTGAAATACTTTATCCATAAAGACAAGGGTAGACAAAATGACCAAAATAATCATGCATATATATATATATATATATATTGCATAACCAGTTCCATTGTTTCCAAACCAAACCCACTCCTCTCTCTCTCTCTCTCTCTCTCTCTCTCTCTCTCTCTCTCTCTCTTCTAGGGTTTTCTACTCCCACTCCACCACCGCAACACCGCAACCACCGCCAAGCGCCTTGTTTCACCTGGTCCCGCCTCTGGCTCCGCTTGCCTTATCACGACCCAAACTTGCTCCTATAAGTTTAGTGTCGTAACCGGCCAGTAATCTATGATTACCAAAGGCCTGCTTAATAGTAATACAGTAACGGAGTTGGAGGAAGCCAATACATAAGAAAATAAAACGTCCAACGAACTGTAAAGGCTTAAATGAACCAAAATAAACTTTTATATAAACATATATGCACATCAGTCCATGTCAAGTTTGTATACCAAAAATATAAACAAAAGAAGGGGTTTTAATCCCATTATTCGAAGATATACAAAACTCATAAATCATTCATATCACATGAATGAATCTCAAAAGGGTATCCAGTACCACCCGAAAGACTTGACACTTGACCGGTAGGAACCTCACGGTGACGCACAAACGTTGGCTTGACAAAACAGAGGGTAGGTTGATGCCGCTAAGTTCCATCTTGCCCTTGATCACCTACATACATTTATATAACAATGAGGTAGAGCTCAGTGAATAACAACTATGTAAAGAGGTTATGAATGATGTCCTTACTATAATCCAAATCAGTCAATTTTAACAGTGAACAGAAAATCAGAATCACTTGCTTATTAGATCCATATTTCATACAGAAATCATAGCAGTCATACGTGGTACATCCAGTGACAGAACAGTACAGTAGGTCGTGAAGACCGAACAGTTAGAATTGATGGACGTGCCATCAATACAGTAAACAGAAGTTTCAAGAATTGGAACTGACAGAGATCTTTGTAATAGTAACGGTAAATAAATGCGAAGGATGCCACGAATACAGTTCAGAAAAATAAGAAAATCATTCAACTAAACAGAAATCACCATTTCATAAATAAAGTATAATATAAGTCAAAAAATACTTATAATTGAACATATGTTTACAAGGTTGTTATTCATAATTGGCTTCATGCAACACGTGATCACAGTGCGGCGTCTGACCTACACAAACACATGCAAGCACAACGGTTCACAATACATTCCATCTATTCAATTGATTCATAACCTATTCGTTACTTATTCCCTAAACTGTTTGTATTCATTCCTCCATTTTTTTTTGTGTTCATGAAATGCATATGCATATGAATACATTTGAAAACCATGCAAACGGAGGCCCGAAAGTCAGAGAAAACAAGAAGAAAACAAAACTGAGACGACCCTACTAACTGCACGTGTGGTGGCTTGGGTGGCTCGTGCGGTGGGTCTAGCCACTTGTGCGAGCAGAATGCATGTTGGTGCAAAGAAGGGTTGGTTGCTCAAGCAGTCTGGGTTCAAAACCAGTCCAAAATTCTGCTACAAACTAGAACTTCCTCATTTTCAAACTCCAACTCCAAATGGATGAAAAACAAGGCCCAAACTCTTAAAAACATCTTCAATTTCAGACTTTAAACATCAAACAAAACTATAACTTCAAAACAAAACTCATTTTGCCATCTACAAGTTCACACTCTTGGATTCGAAAAGAAAAGTATGAACCATGCATGTCACGCCCAAAATTTGGATAATTAAATATTAAATTAAGACTAAACCCCAATCAATATTCCATCATCCAAATCCTAGGGGTGAAACAAAAAAAAACTAAACGTTCTCATCTCCACAAGGTTTAAATAAATTCTATGCTCAAAAGATTACAAGGGATTAAAAAAAAAATTAACAAAACGCCAATCAAACCATCCATCATAAATTTCATAACTAACCAATACCTCCAACTGTGGACTTGCATTTTTCCGTGCCTCGCCTTTCGGAAAGGGTTTGAAAAGAAGGCCTCATAGTTTGGACTCTCGCGGTTTTGAATCTAGTCTCACAAGTGCAAAATAAAACTGATAAACACCAAAGAGTCCAAATCCGGCAAACCTTTTTGGAAAATCAATTTTAAATCAAATAATACCAAAATTGGACTGCTTTTCCAGATACAGAGTCGCTACCTAAATATTCTTTGTTTTGGGGGAAATTTAGGAAACCCTGACTCGTGCCAAAGGCTACGTGTCTGTCATCATCAAAGTTGTCTCGGCTTGGGAACTTAGGTACGAGAGGGGTAGGTCATGAATTGAGCACCCCCGCTTGCTCGATCAAAGATCGACCTCTACTAATCATGATATGATATTTTATAAATATTAAGCGTTTTTATTCCGGTTATTTAAACTAGTTTTACTATGTGATGCGCACAAGAAAGTATAGACTAGTTTGCTCAATTTGGAACAATTCAACTCATGTTTGTTTTTTTGAAAATGGTTTGAATTTGCCACCTCAAGTGGGCTTAAAAGTTGTGGCTTTGCCACCAAACATGGTGAGCTTAAAACATGATTTGACACTCAACAAAGTGGGCTTAAAACACACATTCGTTGAATTGTTCCAATGCAAACAACAAGCCTTCATCAACAGGCTTTCATGCAGTTTAACAAGTAAACACATAGCCTCATGGCAAACATGCTAATCATGGCAATATGAAAATCACACTCATGCAAGTATGATAAAGCATAAAAACTCACCGAGTACTCCAAGCCAAAACAAAAAACTAGTTAGAAAAATGCATGATCCTAACTATGCAAGATGTCTAATGCAATGCATGCGAAGAATGCAATTAATAGGCACGGCTACTAATATGGCATATGGATCGATTTGAACAACCTGCGATTAAATACGTATTCAAATATGATATTGAAATAACGATGCAGTTTGAATGATACGCCGAGTCTCGGTGCATGCAAGACAAATGAATAGATGCAAACAAGCGATATGCTAATTGAAATATGATCCTAATCTAACCATCAAAAGCGATTAAATAAAAAGGAAAAAGACATGGGGTTGGAAAATATACACACACCCACGCACACTTATTACAACATTACGCCCTTGCGAAGGAGGGTCCGAATGAATAAACTAACCAACTAGCTACGCCAATTAAGCTAACTATTACAACACTAGAAATGAATTAACTAAGCTATTCTAAGCTAATTAAATATTACAAATCAAATTAATTAGCTAAACACTTAACTAACTAATTGCAAATCAATTAAACTAATTAATTACAACATGAAGTAATTAACTAACTACTCTACTTAAATAGTTACAACATGTATTTCATCTAGTGCTAATTAATCTAATTAGCTAATGGCGGGAAACGAGGGAGGCCCATGCATGCTCGGTTTCTATCCGAAAAAGCCACCGCCTTGCTACTGAACGCCTCTGTTTGCACATTTGAACACTGACAATGCCGCCAATTTCCAGAACACCTTTGCTTCACCTTGTCAACACATTACGCAAATTTCATTGATGGCCGGTCCACTACCATTGGTGGCCGGTCAACCACTTCTATCCTGAACTTCCTCTTACTGCAACAGAGAGCAAACAGAGGCAAAGTAGTGTATTCTCAAGGATTGTCTGTACTGTTACCCTCCTTCTCATCAAACAAGCTCAAAGGAGTGTAACTCTTGACCCTTAAACCATCAATCAAGCAATTTCCATGCATGATGGCTAAGGAACCAAGTTTTTACAAGTTTAATAAATGCAAAACAAGACTCAAAAAACCACCACCCTATCATACCTGATCAAAGGTAATGGTGACCAAGGAAAGTGGCATATTTCATCACTTTTGAGTATGAAATGTCCCATTTTTCTTATGTTTGAATTAACGTCTGATTCGAGCATATACAATGCAACACGAAAGATGCTTATTTTGCCTCTTTTACTTGTCCAATTTTATTTACTCATTTTAATTACCAAACCATTCATTAATCCAATTGTCCATTGGTGAACGTCCTCTAATGGA